GTAGTGAATATGGTGGATGACAGAGAATTTCCAAGTTCAGCTTCTACAGTTTGAGCAGTTGTTGTTTGTGCAACGCGTGGTTGAGTGTTGTCTTACAAGAGGATTGGCCTGTCTCTACTGACCAATCTTAGCAGCTTAACCTCCAGCATCCTCATCATTTCGTCCAGTTGGTTGTAGGAGATATGTGTTGTAATTGACTGACCAGGATTCATGAGGCTCTAGTGGATAAGACCAGTGCTGGACACCAAACAGACACCACTAGCCTTTTGGGATAAATATTTGGTTTTGGACTGTTTTGGCACTTCATCTTTATCCAACTATTGCGCAAATGCTGCTATTGTCGAAAAGTATCAATTTTTCAGCACACATAACAATACAATGTAGAAATGGTTCACCTTTGTGTCGTGACAGCAAAGAAAGGCAAGCTTCGAGACGATTTCCCGTCTGATCCTTACTTAATTCACGTGGAACCCATCTATCCAGCTTCTTCTTTTTTTAAATTTCAGATTCAAATGTGGGTGCATATGATTAGGTTACCTAGTTTGTTTCTGTAAGGTTAAAGTTCGAGGCGTAATGGTGCCCTTCACCCAGGAAGAGTGTAACATACCCATACAGTGTACCTGCTGGGTGGGACCTTCCCCAAGCCCTTCCCCCACCTCCCTGCTACTTGAATTTAATTCAATTTTTCTCCCATGTGAGTAGGTAGATGTTACCTTGCTAATTTGTTTCAAATAGTCCAATATTGTTGAAACAGTAAAATCCAACCTTGCTGGTGATTCACGCATCGTCTGAGATGGATTCACTTCCACTTCGGCTTTTAGTTCATCATTATCCACCTTGATCTCAGGTCACCCACGTGGCTCATTCTCAAGATGAAAATCACCAGAAAGGAACTTCTCCAACGATCGTCCTACGGTGCATTCAGGAGCCACATCCTTCCCTAACAATATCAATATTGCTGATAATCCCTCTCAACAATACTTTGTTGATATTTCGAGCTGTCTGCACTGTATTGGTTCCATGATAGAATGCATATTTAAAAAGAACACAAATTTTTGACTTACCCATGGTTTCACAAAAATTGCTCTAAGAAAATGTGAAAGATAATCTCAAACCAAAACATGCCTTTGAAAGAAAGAGGATGTACCTTCACCATAAAAATAAAACAAACAGTGTCAAAGCAAAAGGTCAGACATATCAACTGTCAAACTTAGTACTTAAGGAAATCGGAGAATTCATATTTAGTAGCCTAAATGTTCTAGCAAGTGTCAAACTCTTTCTCAGCGTTTGACCTAGAGCTTCCAGCTTTAACATTTCGGACAGATGTTTGAAACATTTAGGACAACTAAAGGCTCTAGTGACAGCAGCCATTGAACCCGAGGCCTTGGAGTTAGAACTTAAAGATTCACACATTAGTCCTTAAAGGACTTCCCTTGATGGAAGAAACAGAATAATGGCTGAAATCTTCCACCGCTTCAGAGAGATGCATCAGATTGCCTCTTTGGATTTGAATTCCAGGAACTGCAGGCTCAATTATAGCAAAGTTGGTCTGCTGACCTCACCTCCCAAGGTTGCTCTGCCAGATACAGCTTATCCGGCATCTGTCAAGTGGTTTTGCTACTTTATTTTCCCACACTATGGTGTGAGGTCATTGGCTTCTTTGGCTAAGACCAAGTGCAGCTGCCACAACCTTACGCTTTCCCCCTTGACTGTAATAAGCTCTGCTTTCCTTCTCTCCCTCTGGGTTTTCTTTTTCCTGAAGGCC